CCTCCCGCCGAGAATCCGAACCTCCTCCTCTTGGACAAGACTGGAAGACCTGAACTTAACTGAAATCTTTCTACTCACCTGGAAAGAACTGTTCACCTAAAAAGAACTGTTGGACCTTTTGTGCTGATTTTGCCTACAACCTAAGGTATTTATCCTGCCCGCGCACTATTGTACGTTCTCTCTCTCCGCGTAAAAGAAACGCGCACCCGATCGTTAATCTGGACTAAAAAATTGAATAATAACTCATGTAGTTTATGTATCGTATTTTATTCGTTGATGTAAACTTAATTTAGATATATATAAATAAACGGGTTTTTATGTTTAAACCTTCTGGAGTGCAGTTTCTTCCGTTTGTCTCTCAGTTCTCCATTCCGGGTCCAACCCTCATACCTATCCGCTCGCGCGAACTTGTGGTCTCTGTATCGACCGAAAGATACAGTGGTGTCATCCTGACGAGGTATCGAAGAGATACCGACCCTATGGTCACAAGAGCATACACACATTGCAGCAAAGTGCAGGACAGACAAAGAATTAGAACACATCAAAGAGCTAGCATGGCATGTCGGAGTCAATCAGAATAAAATAAAGGCCTTAATAAATAAAACAAAAAAAGACGATAATGAAGGTAATGAAAGGGGAAGAGTAGAAGAATACACAGTAATGGAATACATGGCACCCTTAAACAACATTTACAAAGAAATGGGAGCAGCTATTATCAAAAAGATAATATTTAAAAGGAATCCAACAGTATACCAGATACTATGTACGGACAAGAAACACACAGACCAGAGTCTTATTCCTGGAATTTACAGAATACCTGTACAAGATGAGAGGCAGCAAAAAGAACTGTCCTTCATTGGAGCTACAAGCAGGTCATTAAAAGAAAGAATAAAAGAGCACAAAAGGAACATACAGAATGAGTAACCAGTCACTGCTTTAGTGATGTATGTTATAGCTGACCCAAGAGGTTTCAGTGAAATTGAAAAGAGCAGAAATAATATATAAGATTCAGGACAGAAGACATTAAATATGCAGAAGCCTGGCATATTCACAAGAGCAGTCTAGCAGGACAGGCTATAAACTTCAGAGAATCATAGTGTCTCTGCAGCATGAAGAGCGGGTGCATTATGAACATACCAGCAAAAGAAAAAAGCACGGACAGATAAAAGATAGGCATTAGTCTGTGCCTGTTATATCATCACTTGTTTATATATCTATTCATTTACCTATTTCTTTATTATTATTCATTTTTATTTTTACTTTTATTTTTGTGTATAATTAGTGTATGCACATTTTGGTACATTTTCAATCTGTAGATTCTACTTTTATCTATTTTTGGACTTGCACAATAGGCGTTGAGAAAACTTTTTTAAAGTTAAAAATGTTCTATAAGCAGTTTTGTTCGTCATAAATCGAAAAATTGTTTGATCCTGATGAAGGTCAATTAATTGACTGAAAACATTAGATTACATTAATAAAATAGACTGCATGTTAAAGGTTGGTAAAGTGTAGTTATTTTTGAAAGTGCAGTTTGAGAAAAGTGTATCCTTTATCTGTATTCCTGTTCTGCTTGAAGACTTTATGTTCCAAAATCTGTTATCATCTTGTGTTTTTGTTGAGTAAAACTGCAACTTAACAAAAATTACTGCCAGAATAAACATTGTTTGGATTTTCATGTATCAATACTTTTTGATGGCATCATTCTTGACCCTTCATACCATATTGGACTTTGATAAGAAACCTCCCTCGGACCCTACCCCATAACTGGAAGTCGCTGATACACACACTCACCAACCTTTGTAGTTCCCTTGAATCATGTTTTGCCATAATTAGTCCAAAATCCTCCTACCTTTAGTCATTCCCAAATTATGGGGCTGATTCACGTGTTATTTTGTTTTTCTGTCTGTTACAATTTTTATTAAATATTTATATAAGAAAGTATTAAGAATGGAAGATGACATCAATTACAATAGCTACATATAATGTTTGTTTGAATACAAAAATAGCATATTTAATTTATTTCTTAATTCATAATTTATTTTAAAATATTGATTACAGATCTTTTTGACTGGTCATTGAAATCAGAAAATTATCTTATTACACGTCAGAAAAAAAAGAATCAGTTAGTGCAAGTAAATGGAATTGAAATTGCATTATTTAGATATGGAGAAAGAATATTTGCTATTAAAGAATATTGTCCGCATCAAGGTATTTAATAAATTTTACATATTTTATTTCTTTATAAAACAAAAAAAATGTAAGCCATGTTTTACAGGTGGTCCATTGCATCTTGGAGAAATTGAGGAACTTCCAGATGGAGAACCGTGCATCAAGTGCCCTTGGCATCGCTGGTGTATGAAATTAAAGGATGGAAAGATAGTTTCTAGTAAAAACAGGCAACCGACTTCTGTGTATCCAGTTAAAGTTGATGAAGGAGGAAACATTTTTATAGAATTTCAATGTATCAATGAAAAATATTTTACTTCAGAAGATTTTTGATTTATAATCAATTTCTTAAAGCTCAAACAATAATTGTGGAAGTTTGAAAGTCTTTTAAATATTTTCAGAATTTCTATAATGTCATGTTCTACAATAATTGTTTGAATTTTAATGTATATTATACTTGTGGAATTGAAATCAGATCACCCATTTGATCGTATTGGATTTGTAAACATTGTATATATGTACATATCAGATATATATTTAAAAAATAAAAGTTTCATATAATTTGAAAATGTTTTAAATCACCTCATCAGTTTTCTTTCAGAAAAAGAATTTCCACAATCTTAACTTACAAAATTGATATAATTTGCTTTTATATTTAACTGCACACAAATTACAATTCATAGTTTTTTCATCTTGTGTGATTAAAATTTGTATTTTATCTCTTGTTGTGCAAGTTTATGAACCAGTGCCAGATTTTCTTTTCATGTTTGACCTTTTTAGCTTTAACTTCCAATATAATCAATTGTGTTGAAGTATAAAATAAACACCAGTCAATTACTATCATCTGTTGCTAATTAAAAAAACTAAGGAAGCATTTCCTGTCCGTATTAACATTCTTGCCTTTTATTTATTGTTCATATTAATAAAAAGCTGAGGTGATAATATATAAATGCTTGAATCTGGAAGGTAACAAATTGTGAGAGAGGTGACTATAAGCTGGATAGAAACACTTGTCCTTTGTTATTACAGTCAATGTATATTGTTTTGAAATACTAGTTTAGGTTAGCTAATGACTTGACACATTTATTTATTCTATTGATATATTCGGAACTACACTATCCTCATTATTATTGGCACTTTCAAAAGTTTATGCACGATGGTTCTTTAGAAAACAATATTGAATACAAAGTTACCTGAATAAAGCAAGTTTTGTCACTATCTTTCACAAAGCTAATGGAAATTATAAACTCATGTCTACACCTAGGTAACAAGCAAGCAATATGTTGTTAGGTACAAAACAACATACATCAAAATGATAATGTGTCTGTTCACAAAAATACAGGTTGTGGTTCATAATGAGGTAACAAAATACCATCCATGACATTACATAGATATGGACATAGCCTTACTAACAACAATAGTTTGCAATCTGATAGTGCACAAAAGCAATGAAAGTAATTTATTTGTAATTAATTCTGCTGCTGATTTTGCTATCGGCCAGCAAATACTATAATATTAAGGCTCAACATACTGTATATTTGTCCATTTAGAAACACAATGTAGTATTATAATGACAATTTCATTATATAATTCTAGAGATAGAAATTTCAATTCACAGAAAATAACTTTGGCTATTAAATATTATTGATTGACAATGTCAAATCTTGTATAATACCTGCAACTGAATTCAAGTGAGATTTTATTCTACAAGGAGTTTGCTCAAAAAAGTTTTTAATTTCTCCACTGAAAAAACTTTATCAACAACATATTCTTTCTCGTGATGAATATATTATCATGACAAAATAGCAACTGGTGCAACTTTATTAATGTAACATTTTGTAAACCAGATGTTTGTGTGCACAGCTGGTTTTCAAAATATAATTTTATACAAAAAAATACCCTTATCCGATAATTTATTCTTTTAGCTATTGTTTGAGATAAGAAAATAGAAAGTAACTATAAACAAAATTTGATAAATTTTAACAATATATTTATTATAATCACTATTATTAGAAAAAACATTTTAGATTGATACACACTACATTTTAGAATTGTTTGGAATAATTTTAATTATGAGCTAAATATATATCACTTTGTTATAAAACTGATACAGAACAGCTTTTCCCATAAAAATTTTTATAATAATTTAATTAATTAGTTTATATTGTTATAATATTAATTCTAATGAATACTTACATACATACTATATTTATATATGTAAGGAATCATTCACATATGTCAAATTTAATTCTGGCAATTTTTATCCTCCTGACTTCATTGTCAGATAATTAATGCCCCTCAAAAACTAATCCTACCATGTAACATATTTTTCCCATAGAGAAATCATGCGAGTGATCTGGTATAAAAGCAAACAAGATGTTTTATTACAAAAACAATTACTTTGTAATACTGAACTTAGACTTTTCATTCAAACACATGTATTGATTAATGTCTAGGACAGAAATTTGACTAGTTGAGCAAGTATAGGAATGACGACATTAGTTAAATTGACACGACCTTCACATGACTACCTATTTATCTTTAAATTTTTTAATTGTAATTCTTGAATTCTCTTTCTCTAATGGCTGTAACAACTTGCACCTGTTTGAACGTTATTTCACCATTTTGCTGGTATATTATTGTGTGCAGCTTCAAACTGCCGATCAATGAATGTAAAGATGACATTTTTTGCACCCATGGTAATTCAAAAGTATCATTTACTCATATTATGCTTTCCCAAAACAGGCCGTTGAATGTAATAGCAATAGAATTTAGATACAAAAAATTAAATGCAAATAACTTGTAAAAATCATAATGCTTATTTTTCATGTTTATAGTTCTAAATATTTAAGCTTATCAACAATATTTGTTTAAAACATTTGTTGGATTTTTTCAAAATAACAGTTTTTATAATGATAATTTTATTGTCGAAATATTGGCACAAACACACAATATTTGCATTTGTTGGGATATATTTCAGATACATCAATCCCATTCAAGGTCATGAGTGAAGCTTATTAATATTACAAATAGATTCATTAATAAGAATTAGTAAAATATTGTTGGATTAAATATTTTAATTAAAAACAAGAGTATAAATGTTTATGCATTGCAAACAAGACAAGTTTGCAGCATATACAGGAAAATACCCCTTCTTATCACAATGGATACATTCCAGTATGCATCAATGTATCAATGAGCTGCAATGCACTGTGTGTTCTGATATTCACCAATGAGTTCATTGCTGCAGAGACTGATGCACATTGCTTTCATATAGCTGTAAATATGGTGAATTCTGATGAAGCAATTGGCCACCTCCATGGTTATATTAACAACATTTTTACTATTCATCTGTATTAACCCAAAGTTATTTTGACAAAATAATTCTGCAAATGCCAGTGCAGTGCTGTTTGCTTCTGTCATCTTGTTAGGTTGGCAGATGCTCTAGCAAAGGTTATTAAACCATTCACCAGTGCATCAATTGTGGCTGAGACTGATGCATACTGGAATATACTGAATGATTCTTAAACTCACCTCCTTTGGGGTGACGTAATATGTGTGTATGCCCCTAATACAGTATAATGATGCACATATATATAAAATACACTTGTATCATCTTCAGAATACAGTAAATTGAACATATTTTTATAGCTTTCAAGTATTTTTCCCTCTATGTTAGTATTGAAGTAACTTAACTACTTCAAATGTATTCATACCAAGAAATTTGACTCATTTTTAGGGTGAGATAAATTTATGTACAGGGAGCACCTATATTTGTATTTTAAAAATATTCTTTTTGTTTTAAATTATTTTATTCTCATTTTGATATACACTATATAATGTTACATTTGCATTTGCAATAGACAATGTCCTGTTGTATTCAGGAGTATTATGGAGAGAAGATGCAACAGAGTGTTTATTAACAATTGGTAATAAACATACAAATTAAATGGTATAAAAATAATTTATTGAATATTTAAAAATGGCCACATGGCCTACTTTTCTTACAGTATGCAATAACTTACATTGTTTTCAATGTATAAAATGGAACATGACTAATATAATATATATATATTTATATACAAATGTTATTCTTTCTTGGTAAACACACAATTGTAACAGTATTCTGATTAAATCAATCTCTGCACAATGATTTGACAATATTTACAAGTATTTTGAGTTTTATAAACAATAATCATGCCTTTGGAAAGAAGATTATGTTAAGCATAATGATTGAGATACATATATGACAAAATTATTCCCAAGAATTAATGATGGTATATGAATATGGCACTCTTCACAAAATTAGTTTGCATAATATTATATATATATAATGAGATGATACAATAAAAATGAAATGTGCAAATGATAATATATCCACTTTCTTTTATGTAATATTATAGAATATAAGTAAAGTTTTAAATTGTGACTAGATAATGTATTAATCAAATTTTAACATAAATATATAAATTCATAAAACCTATCTAATGTTAGTTTTTCTAGAAGCAATTTTCTTTCCAAAGGCAAGTAAAATGTGAAAAGCAACTGCTTTAAAGAAATTTCAAATCATGCAAAGTCATGATTATTATTTAAGTTAAAACAGCTTGAGATGAAGTAATTTTAAATTTTATTTAATAAAACTATACTCTGCACTCTAAATCATGATTTAAAAGCACAAAAAAATCTTATCTTGTATGATAATCTGTTAATTTAAATTAAATGCCAGTTCAACAATATTGGATTTCCAATATTTCTATACTTTATACAGACTGCACAAATACATTGTGCATTTAAAGCTATGCATTTACCAATAGATTGCCAAATGAACCATTGGTCAACTAGATTTCAGCACTCGTTTCAGATCATCAGGAAGAGTATCTATTATATTTTCTAAATGATCTTGGAGTTTCTTAACAGTTTCTGACATCAGAGGTAAACTTTCATTTTCTGCTGTAGCCTACAAAGTAAAATAAATAAATAAATCTGATATACAAGTTATTGTAAGAGAATAAAAAATTTAAAAAATATTATTTCTCTATTGNTCAGTTTTCTAATGTTAAGTAAACAGTATTTTTAATTCAATACATTTGATATTTTAAAATATCTTCAGGAAAATGACAAATAAACCACACCACAGAAATTTAAAACTTGCACAAAGATTTTGCAATTAAAATGTTTTTAGAAAATAAAAAAAAAAAAATAATAATAAATCCATATGGCAGGCATATTCTCCATATTGACATAGGGACTACATTGCAATTTTTGCATTCCATTAAGAAGTTCAATTTGGCTTTGTTATTACAAATCTTCATAACCAATTTTCAAAAATTTTTGGTCGGCGTTGCCATTATACACTTTTCTCAAACTGCACTTTCAAAAAGCCAGCCAAAAATTATCAAAAATTGCTTATGAAGATTTGTAAGAATGAAGCTAAATTCAACTTCTTAATGTAATGCAAAAATTGCAATGTAATCCCTATGTCAATATGGAGAATACGCCTGCCATATGGATGCACTTTGCTTCTCCCAAGATTAAGATTATTATG